CGCTCGCCCTGGCAGCCGGCTCGCCCTCGGCCCCTCACTCGCCCTGCCGCCTTCCTCCCCTTTCCTTCCCGAGGTCCCTACGCCCCCTTAGGCGCCCTAAGAAAATGCCCCTTCGCTAACGCCAAAAGATAGAATCCTCTGCAATGTCACTAGCATAAAAAAAAAGAAAAAGTTCACCAAGTGTAAACCTGTGCGTCTCTAATATGCATATATACTATTACAAATATATATTCGCTCTTCCTTTATACATATGCTGTTTTGCTTAGAGGTGGCTTCTTATTTGGGCGTTGCTAAGGTTGCCTTTGAAAGCCTATTTGCAAAAGAAGAAGAAAAAAAAAAGACTTGTCCGAGTGTTTGTTATTGACGGTGCATCTCCTTCGCGTTTGATCTCATTGATTCGCGCGGGTTCCCGGATCCATAGCCCGCGTTTAAATAGCGTGGCAGCGGCGGAGCGCGTTACCACACAAGGCGCGCCAACGCCGGGCTGTGTTCCGGGTGGGGGCTGGGCTGGGGGAGCCTCTCATTAACATTCTTACATCAGGGCTCCTCCCCGCACCCCGTCCCTGCCCACCGCTCCCCTTCCATAATCCCTACTACCAGCCTGCCCCTCTGCCTTCCCTTAAAGCCACCCCCGCGCACGTCTGCACCCGCTGGAGCCTCCGCAGCGCCGCGCGCCTCTAGGGTCCCCGCCTCTCCCTGGCCATGCAGTCTCCAGCTCTGGGCTTTACAGAAGGAAATGTGTTTGAAAGAAACGCGAGGGCACGCGCACACACACACACACTCGCAAACGCGAGGACACACACCCTGGGGGCGGGGAGCAGGATTGGGGAAAGGGAGTAGTTGTCTAAATCGCCACCCTCGGTGAGAAAAGCCACAGGTCCCGCCGCCTCACCTCTTCCTCGCTCCGGCCACACGCACTGCCGCCGCGCGGACTAAGATTGATTGGGCACCTGACCTTCGCGGTCTCAGCGCAGGGTCAGGGAACACGGGTCCAGACTCCTTCGCGGGCCGCCGTCTCCCGCACCCCGGCCTTCCTCGGCCCTGCGCCT